GCACTAGCAGTATTAAAAATACCCTACGCAGGATACTTATTATCAGGAAATAGATCAAATTTTTTAGACTATGAAGGAAACATCTTATGGTTTTATACTTGTACCAAAAAAGTATCACCACTATACGTTTTTGAAGATAAACGATGTTATAAAAGAATCCCTATCTTTTATAAGAATAAAGTACATTTCGTGGATACACTTTCACGAAGAACCTATTTCTGGGATACCGCAGTCCCATGTGGATCAGAAAATAGCCACAATGTAGTACAACTAAACCCTGATGAAAATAAATATTATCTTCTCACTCCATATCCCACATTAATGCAATCACTCAAAAAATTTTCACCAGAAAGCATTCGCGCTATTGCTCGAAACCCAAATATAGACTTACAATCAATAGGAATCTATTCAAAATCAGATATTCAACATCACATTAGAACACAACAATTCCAAGAATTATTAACACAAATGGACACTATACAAAGACAATCAATAGACCAAAATTTACGCAAACTTGCAGAAACCGCAGGATTTGCCGATATCTACACCCAAGACTATAGCGGATATTTTAAAGACATTAAAGATTATATATATCTAAACGGTGAAAAATACCGTCCCCAAGATATATCACCAATTAACATTTTTAGCTTTGTTACACTCAAAAATGAGATCCTCGATTTTCTAGGATGGCCCTACTACATCTTAGAAAAATTGACTATTTTATACGCAATGTTTAACTTTATTGGATTTCTTTTCTCACTTTTAAAAGGAATCTACAACACATGTGCTATACACACACAAGTAAACAGACAAGCAAGTGTAGCACGCATACTATTTGCAGGATTTTTTGGAATCTTTTCTACATCTATAAACAAAATTCTTTTAGACGCACAAATAAAAGAATATAACACAAAAATAACAACACGACAAAATACATACGACGAAGAACATAACAATGTCGACACACAGCCAACGGCACCACAATTACCACCCCTACCAAATAACCATCCACTATCCCTAGTCCCACGAAATTTTCGAAATTTAGCAATCACACATAATCCAAATTTTCGACTCAATACATCACAAAGTCCCGTCCAACATATAATGACACACCAGTCACAAGATGATAATACTTATGAACAAATTATTGAACAACCCCATACCACCGCTTTTCAGTCTCAAAATAATCATTTTTTTAGCCCACGATGAGCCGCCAACTTGGATCACTACACCGATCAAATTCCCACCCAACCAATCTTACCTCCCCAATCCCAATAATACCACTTTTTGCTTTTCCGCCACCCGATTTTCCATCTAGCAATGTAACATCAGGCATGAATTCCGACACTAACTCACATATTTCAGTTTTATACTCCATCTCACAGCTAAATAACCCGAATATTGAAACCCCCGATGAATTTGCCGACTCAGAACCATCCCCATCCAATAATTTTCATAACCCTTCTAATTTTTCTCAACCTCCTTTTCAACCCATATTGTCCAATAACCCTGACCCAATCACTCCGACACCCTCTTATGCTTCCCAAGTTACCCCAACCTACTCCTCATACCAATCTGACCAATCATCTCATTCTCCAGACACCCCCCGAATCTCCCCAGAGCTAGATAATTTTATTACCCTCCAACAGCAACCCTACCACCTTAACACCCCGACCATAAACCAAATCTCCTCCACTACAATTTCATCCAATCCCCCTACACCCTCTTCAAATTATACTGAATCATTAACACCATCATCCACATCCACTATATCTTCACTAAACACTAATAGAGCTTACCGCACTTTTAAAAGAAAATTCCCCAACCATCCTTTCCCAGCAAAACCAGGAACAGCCCGTGAATACATCAACCACCCCCAGCATACTAACACTAAAGAATTTTTAGCTATCACCTTACCCTCGTTTCCACAATACACTTTAAACACCCCTCACGACGCTAACGAAACACGCAACTTTGTAGATGAATACGTTTTAATGCCCACTCTCTCTTGGACCTCATACTATCATTTCACTAACCCTCTTTGCTTACCTTTATCCAGCACTTCCATCGATATAGAACGAAACAAGGACATGCTATATCAACTCACTACACCACTAACCGCTAGACAATTTACTTACGTTGGATATAAAAAATCACTAAAAATACACACTGCACCTAGAGCTAATGAATATACATTAGAATACTACGATCACAACATCATTAGAGCTAACCAAGATCAATTCTTAGACGACGATCGCTTCGCTAATCCACAAATCACCGAGAAATTTTTCATCAAGACACCATATATATTTACACTAAACATCTTCGACCGCAAGTTTGATCACATTATTTCAGAAGCACTAACAGACACACAAGCATACGAAAGTTTTAAAGAACGCTTCCAAATATTTTCACTAACCTTTCATTTCCTTGCACCACACGAAAGAGATTTACACTGCTCACACGATATTATGTTGCGCACTAAACAAACACATACATACAGTTACTATCGTTTCATCCAAAATCACTTTGACCTCCACACACCCTCTAGACAACCACACCATCGTTTCCAATTCATCAATTCAAAATACACTTCACCATATTTCCTAAATTTCACATATTGTATTAAAGACACTAACCTCCATGGTATTCTTCGTAATTATGACCCCATAACCCAAATGTACATTTTCTGCCCCATCACCAAGACCTTCAACGCCGAAGAATCCCGACCCTTCCTTATCCCGCACGAGTTCCTACAACCTATAGAAATCCCAATTTTAGAATTCATCCACAACACTAAATTTAACCACAAATTATATAACTTAATCCAAAACACACCTTATGAGTTTGCAGTAGGCACTGAAGAACTAACCACTATTAAGGCACTTCAATTGCTCTGGCCACTGCTTCAAACTAAAAATATCATCCGCATCTTAGCTAAACTACTAACAACTTCAGAACTAATTCACGACATCTTCCCCCACGGTTTTTTCCCCGACGACTAACAGGTAAGTATGAATTAAGTAAATATTACTAATTAATTACAGTATTAAAAACTCACCATTCTTTATTCATGTTTTCTTTAGATTTTTAGCCTTCATCCTAGATCATCTGAAAAATTCACAAAAGAAAAATAAAAAATAGCAAACTTCTTCAAAACTGTTTAAGACCCTATTAAACTTTTGCACCAACAATTAAATAAATATAATACCAATGCAGTAAATTAATTTATAAAATTTCCCCCCAAAAGCAGTAAATCTACATATGATGAAAATTTGTATCTTAAAATTCCCCCATAACTAGCAGTAAATTTCTAAATTCTATGTAGTAAATTAATAAAATGCAATTGCAGTACTAACCTTTTGATATTTTCATTCATTCGCACAGAAATTCTATCCACACTCGCACAGCTCGCCCACGAAGAATTGTTTAAAATAATGAATTTCAGTTTCAAGTTTTCACACTCAACAACTCTAACATACAATAACATGTTTCAAACTTTCCTTTAACCCGGTTGGAAAGGAATCATATACTAAACAAAACTAACCAACGCAGCTTACTAAATACCACAAATCATAGAATAACAGCATGACTTAGAAAAGGAAACCAACGGTACCCAAACCGGATTAACCCAGTTTAAAACTGGATAATTTATTCTTTTGAAGACTATTACAAAGTCTTAGAAAGAAATAATAAAACACAAAAAAGTCGAAAGACAAACCCATACCACAAACAATTTGCTTTTTGGAAAAAGTACATAACCAACAAGACATAAGTAAAACCACAACAAACCCAACATAAAACGTTGTCACATAACAGGACCCCTCACAAACACCGCATGAAATCATACTCCCACTCCTGGCCTAACCCACCAGGAAAGGACGTCCTGAGCATGCTCTATAGCCGGCCTAACCCACCGCGCTACATCCACGCTTTGTGACCACACCTTTATTTTTAATAAGAGCTACTCAAGGGTGAGTAACTCTTCAAAATAACCGAACTAAAACAAAAAGCTTTTGTGAAAACAACTAACTAAAATCATTATAAAAAAATATTAAACTAATAAAAGTTTTATAAAATGTAAAATCACATGATGCAATATATAGATCAGAATACAACACCAAGGACGAACATCAAAAGACAAGACGACCTCACTACACTCGAGAGAGAATGACCAACTACAATCGATATGCCGCTCACAATCACAACTCAAAGGATTTAGAGTACGACTTGACTTCGCAGAAAAGGACTTCATTGAACTAGACCAATGACCACCTCGATGTTCAAGTATACGTACAGATCCGAGTAACCAGGCATCCCCTCCACGCACAATCTCCACGCCATTCCCAAACTAGATCATACACAAAAGAAGTTCTCCACGCAGAACAGAAAAACCTGACATAGCCAACCATTCTGGAATCAGAATTGACTTTGTTGCAGAGACTCAGTCGTTGTCACAAGAAGAAGCGAAAGAAAATTATGATGTTCGCCAAATACCAACGTCCATCATCCACCCTTGAATTACAGAAGAACTGTTCAAAAAAACTCTGTAAAACCCGGATGGGTGGAACCTGATCTAAACTATATTTTATGATTGGATAAATTAAATGTTTTACCAATGTAAAGTATTTAATATTAACCAATCATGATCCATCTAACTAACAACCCACTTATTTGTAAGTGCTGAAGTTACTTGTAATTTCAGCACCAGAGAGATTTGAATTTAACTTAGAAATTAGTTGGACTCTCCCGAGCACTTCAGCAGCCGCAATAAACCAGTATACCCTAGATCTATTGAGCCTAGCAGAGACTAGTTAAACAACCTGAGACTAGATAGTATAAGAGTAAGATTAGGATCGGTATTAGACTAAGAAGTTGCACGAATCTATCCGGCCGAAAATAAGATAGCGTGACGAGCAGACGGTGTACCCTATCCGAAATTACTCTATGAGTTACACTTCGGTCCTAACTCAAATTAGAGATTCGAATGCTTCATTTAGGTACATCATAGCTCTCTGTGATCACGACCTCCCTAACAACGAGCCCCACCGAATCCCACTGCAACAAGTGTGCACCCATCTGGGCAACCTAGGCTTTAGAATGACAGACTATTTCAAAGGGAATAACTTTGAAGGGATGTCTGGAGATGTGATAGAAATTATCAAGTCTGTGGCGACATATTTTCGTGAAGATGCATATTTGTTTGAGAGGCCATAAAGGTGCCTTCGTCATAGTATGTCTTTTTAAATGTACATAAATTGTATAGCACGCTCGTATAGATTTTTTCGTGAAATTTAGTTTTATTAGACTGAGATGTTTTACCCGGGTTCTTCAAAAGCTTGACGACACTATTCTCCACTGTTTTGCACTCTTAGTTTCTGCATGGCGACACTAGCCAGAATGTTCCAGAATGTTCCAGAAGGTGCCAGAATGTTCATAAAAAATAGTACATTTTGGTCGGGCAATTAAAAAAATGAAACGACATTTTGCTATCCAATCAAAACAAATGAGCGGCTCGCCAATTGAAGTCCAAGTCTTAACTCATGAACTATCCGTTGAGTCTTTCTGGTTTTCAATGAAGTTTAATAGACTCATTTTGCTCGGTTTTGGAAACATCATTAAATGGTATTTGACTACCATCATTTGCTCTCATCTTTTTTCTCATCGCCTTCTAAAACAGAGCGTTCCATCAAATCTCTTTTGTGAAGCTATCGAAAAAAAAATTGATTGTTTGTGACACTCGATTTTTGTTTATCCTTGCGATGAGCAAGTGTATTGCAATCGGGCACTAGATTTTTTTCGTAAATAACTCTAGGCGCAGATTTCGTACTTGAAAATGTTACAGTAGGTGTATGTTAGTCCTGGGCCTGTGTGCCTGTTATGACTTCTTTTAATAGTAATTTTGTGCCGAAGTTTTTTGGTATTTTTTGGCGCATGAGTGTTGACGTTAATTCGGTCGGCTTATTTTCCGAATGATTTTTTTTTCAATTAATTCTTGCTTTTTTTGTAAGAATGGTTGAAGTGTTAAAATATATTTTGGAAAAGTTGTACTTTAAAAAAAGTCATAAAATTATAAGTTGCTGATTTTTTCGTTTGTTTTTTAGTTTGCACAATAAATTTAATTTAAACCTTTGATGCTTTTGATTGTTCAATCAGCTGTTTGTTTTCATATTTTCCTGATGTAAGTAATTGAATTTATTAGTTTTTGCATTTTTTATTGTGTTTGTTTTTCTGAAGTTTTTCTACGACACTTGAAAAATGTCAATTTTTTGCCTTTCAGTACATATGTTTTGGAAAATTAGCTATTTCAATTGAAGAACGAAAACAGCAAGCCTGAATTGCCAGCAAATAAGAAATTATTAAGTTCAAACTTTTTGATAGTTTTAATTGAAATTGCTAGACGATTTCATCGTTTGGATCTACTTAACAATCTCCACCCCTTTCAGGAAAAGGAGATTGTTAAGCAGATCAAAATGGCCGATTTTTCGACCATTCAGAATGCAGCAAAATTAGAATTCTCAATAGAAAGCTCAGTGCTAACTTACTGTATTTATTTAAAGTGGTGGAGATTCTTAAGTAGGTACCATACGGGGCGATATAGTTAAGTAGATCCCATCGTTTTGTAATGTCAAGTTGAGTTGCTGTCTGCTAAGTTTCCTAATGCATTTGTTGAGTTTCTCATGTTCTGGGTAGTTTCAATAGAACAAAAAACTAGTGAAATACCTTCTTCTGTTTTCTGTTCGCTAATGAAAAAATGTATCATTTTTACTTACGTCTAGCTAATTTTGATCGATTTTCGGGCCTTCATCCGTTTTCAAGTGTTGTTCGTTGTAGGTTCAGGGAGGTGGACTTGAAACTTATTAAATTTTTTTTAATCATTTTTTTTTCGGCTCAACGGGTGTCTTCTCAAAGATTGTCGGCTTAGTTGCCACATCACTGATTTTTCTGTTATTGTTTTCGTTTTCCTGATTGTTCTTTTCCTTCTTCCACATCATTGTAATTGAAAGCGCAAGGTTGTTTTATTCTTATTCTATTCGCTGGTGGGATTTAAAATTGAAAATACTTTTTATGAAATGATATTTTTTACTGCTGAACTTGTTTCTGTTCACAGATGTTCGGCTTTGTTTCCTCTTCGTAAGTTTTGTTCAGTTGCTAATTTTATACTCAATTTTCTTGCATATTATCCGAGAATGATTTTCTATCGAGACATACGAAAATTAATTTTTGGTTGAGCTTGTTTTTTTCCAATGTTTTTCATTTTTTCGACTTAAGTTTTTTGTTTGTTTTCTATCGCAAGTGGTGCGAAGCTCAGCTTTGACTCCGTATTTTCGTTTGAAATAATCAAAATTCTAAAAATTTTGATTCAACAGCCTTATTGAGAGTTCAAACCAAATCAGAAAATTGTTCATAACATCAATAAAGATCCACGACTTTTTATATTTCATTGGATTAAGGCAATTACTGCATATTATCACAAGGCTATTGAAGGCACGTATTTTCTACAGTTTGATCTATGTGAGTTTAAAGAGGCTTTTGACATTGGTAGAGATTATCATTTGATGCCTCAAGAACGATTTTCAGGGCTAAAAAGTACATTCATTTTCTTCATTGCGTAATCTCGTCGTCGTTTTTAAAATCCTCCCCAATGATAGATCCCAATATATACTTTTCATCGAGTTTTAATTGTTCGTATGTATGATTGTCAAGCAAAGAGGTTTGTATCAATTTGCCATGTTTTCACTGTCGAATTATTTAGTTTTTTGTCAATAGTAAGTATGATAAATTCCACTTTTTCGTTCTTTTGGCGCTCGGATTTTACTTTGTTTTATACTTACTGTTTTCAAATGTTTAATTCGAAATTCTGTTCTACAGCTGAAAAAAGTTCCTCGTTTGTAATAATGGTGCACACTGCGTAAGAAGTATATATTTGGTGCATTTCAGTATGATCACGTTATCACTGTTCGCTCGGGCTTCCAATTCCGGTGCCCTTTGCTGTTCAATTAAGGAACATAACTTTCCTGACAGGAAGCAATGACTGTATCTTTTCATAGAGAACTAAAGCTGTTATGTAGTCTGGCCATTGCATGTCAAGCAAAATCTGCCTCATGTCATATCTTCAGGTCTAGCGCATCCATCTGCTATGTCTAAAATCCTAACTTATGTAAGATTTATATAAAAATATGACTGCGGCAGTCACTGTTAGTTCAGCCAATACAGCATCTCGTAAGCGGACGGTAGAAATCGAATTTTTGCCGTAGTTTTTGAAAAATATCGGATGATTGCCCTAGTAAAGCTGTTTTTTGGATGTTTGAAGTAATCGTTCATTTATAAATTTGGATGCGTATGTTTAAGTGCATTCAAAAGATTGCATATTCATTGAGTTGATTATCATAATTTTCTGGAAGTAGAAATTGAATTTACTTTTTCTCAGTTTTTTGAACTTCTAGGTTTGAACGCAAAACTGTCCCTTGTTTATTTTTTTTTCATTTTCATTGCTCGTAGAACTATATAAACAAGTTTTTAGATGCATTACTCATGTAGTTTATCACCTGAGCAAAATTTCCAAGAGGAAATACACGAAAAGTTCAATGACTTCTGCTACGCAGCCGCATCCAAGAGTCAATCAAGTCACTTGAGTCATCCTACGCACGGGAGAACTTCTAATATGGATGGTTATAAATTAGTCAAGAACCCAAATGAAGACGACGGGATAGTGATAATGTCTAAAAGCAAAAGTTGGTCTCTACTTTAAATGTTGATCAGGTTGTTTTGGAAATGGTATGAAAGATTTTTTGCCGTCTATTATTTTTGCTGATATTTGCAATTGAAGTTCGAGTTCCATTGTTATTTTTATTATTATACCAATTTCATTTCTTTTATTCTGATGGGTCTTTTTGGCAGTTCAGATGAAGATAGAAAAGTTCTGCAAACTTTTTGATAGCTTTAACTTGTTTTGAGAAATATAAATATCGTGTGCGTATGAGGGTCATAGTTCAGTGCAGATATGTTTGTTTTATTCTGATCAACAGGCGAAGTTGCTGCCTTTTTCGATCAACTCGTTTTGAATTCTTTCTCCTTTTATGTCGAAATTTATCGATTTCTTTACTATTCCAGAAATTGTCCAGGTTATTTTGAATGCGCTGGTAGTTTTAGGTTTCTCTTGGCATCATTGCAAATCAACGTCGATTGTTCAGTTGCGGCTCTTATGGCAAAGAAGTTTTTTCGTGCTTGGAGGTCTGCTTTCTTGACACCACCTAAATTTCGTTGATTATCGTGTCTCGGTAGTTCCGATCAAACATACTTTTTGTCGCTTTAAAATCATAACGGTTGAAACCAATTTTGAACTGTTTTATCATGCTATCATGGTTCTTCGTCTTCTATAGTGTTCGACGGACAATAGGTCTAGTTTTACATTAATTCATTTCCTGCAATCCAAGAATCGGTCGTTTTGCTCGCGGTTAAAAGTTTTCTAATAAATTCATGTGTTTCTTAAGTCAAGTATACCAAAGTTGATAACTAAATTTTTTAGAAAGACAAGTATAGTAATTTTGATGTTTATTTGTGGTAGCTGATTTTGCGTGGAAAACAAAAAGAGGAAAAAACTAATACACCCGAATACAAAGTTCTCCCCATTTTCAATAGTGGCAACAAAAATGTTTGTATTTTTTTGAGACTGGTTGGAGCAATCTGTGCTACTTGCAAAGTAACCTATCCTTGTTTCTATATCCTTGGTTCTATATCCAAGTATGTTCAGATAAATTCTCTGCGACTGCTGAGTAACCATGACATTGGCTCTTATAATTATCAAAAGATTGATATTTATTGATGTTAGACTTACCGGGCGTTAGTTTTCAAGCAACGATTTCTTGCCTCTCTTTTCGATCTAAAAGCTTTCGCATAACTACTTGCTGATTTTGATCGGTAGGATAAAATTTCATTGGGATATAATGTTTTATGGGATATTATGTTTAATGGGATTTATGTTTAATGGGATATGTTTAATGGGATATTGTACGATATACGCCATATTATACAACACAAGTCTTATTATAAGAGACCAGATTGAAACGATGAAGTTTATCATACGAAGCCGATAATAGGCTAGTCTTTTTTGTGAGACTAGGATTTTTTTCAAGTATGTTTGGTTGATTGATATTAGGGGTGGTTTACATAAGCTGTAACTTTTCGGCAACAATACAAGCGAGCTGCAAAAGCAAGCTGAAAAACCTTGACCGTTTACTGTAATTGAACTTTGACCGTTTACTGTAATTGACTAAACGATTATAAATGACACGATTTTTCCATTATAAGTCAGTTTACTGGTTAAAATATATAATGGCACATGGTATAATTTGTCATGCATCAGTCTTTTATTACTTTTTTGTTGTCATCCTTGAATCTGTTCAGGCGTGCTTGTACCAGACATTAGGATTCCTAATCAGTCTCAGAAGTCAGCCACCGCTTCAGGTCTTAACAGATTCGGAATCAAAGGTCAGTTGGCGGTCTTGCAAGCTAATAGACTACTTCTAAATGAGCATAGAGTCAAGGCCAAATCAAATAGAAGGATGTTTGGATTGTTGCGAAACTGAATTTACAAAAAAAAAATAGAAAAAATTTTAAAGTTGTTAATTATGCATCAAAGTGCTTGTGGATACGTTTTCGATACGTAGAGCAGAGCACTCTTTTTGCCAGCAATTTTTCTGGGCTGGGAGCGTTCAAGCGAATGGCATGGATCATGGTGGGCATTGATCTTCTGAAATGTCGACATAAACGCGGAGACTTAGCCACTTTAACACAGCTTCCCTAATACTCTTTTGAACCGTGAATGATTTCTTTGAAAAGTGTAGGTCGAATAATCAACCCGGCCGAAAAAGTGTTAAAAACTCTGAAATCAAGAGGAAGAACTTTCTCAGACGTCAGACGTGAATTCGATCGTGATTTCGAAAGTATCATGGATTTAGACAACGAAGTTGACTGTATGAGTGATCAAGAACTGGACGCGTGTTGTGATGCTGAATGTGGGATAAAGGCGAATCATGATAAAAAGGGAGAAGGTATTAGCGGTAATGTGACTTTTGCGTCCAAGAAGTCAGGGGAAGCATCATCAGGTCTGTCTTCGTTTTTTTGTTGTTACATTCTGAAGTTTAAACCAAAGAAAAGGTTTTTTCGTTCCTACCACCCGTTACCCAATACTGAGAGAAAACTTTTGCTTTATGGTAAAGTGTAGGTTTTTATTTGCACAATTTTAGGTACCACATAAATGTCGGACGCAGTGGTATGCACAACAGTTTTATAGGTCGACCAATTTTGTTTCCCGAGCACTACAATGACCCTTAAAGACCCTATAATGAAACTTATTTGGCAAAATTTATGCCTAAAAGTCTATTGTTTTTTTTAAATAGCAGGACAAAAATTTAGCTGTAGAGTGTTTTTTAAAAATTTTGATCAAATTTCGCTTTGTATTGGCGTGCATAATTTTCGCAGTGAAACGAAAAGGGCTCGAGGGACTATGGCTTAGGTGGAGTTGTTGTCAAGCAAACTTAGGGTTGGAATCCCTCATACGCGAAGGAACGAATGCGCGAAAATAAAAAGCCAATCGAATTTCAGTTGTCTAAAATTTGGAAAGAAAACGTTAAAATCTGAAAGAAAGTAAACCTTTCCAGGGAGTTAATATTGACATTGTCAGAATGAAAAAATGGCAGAAATATGCAAAATTTTCAAATTGTCACTGACCACCGCCGAATTGGAACAAATTTTGACTTCAAGTATTTCGTTATGAAAGATGTAAAGTATTGCTTCATTTAACTCATTTTAATTGAATAGCAATTGATTCTTTTTTAAAATTGACTTTCCGCTAATTTTGTTTTCGGTCCTTTGCCCGCGAGTTTTTCGCCCATTCGGTCCTTCGCGCATGAGAATAGCCCCCTTACACGGAAGACGCACTTAAGTCTGGTGCTTCCTGATTTGTGCCCTCTGATGTTCTTTTTCCTTTCTAATTTTGCAGCTGATTATCTCAATCAGTGTATTGACATATAATGAAAAAATCGTATTAAAGAGAGAGAAAGAAAGAAAGAAGAATTTATTTCTCCATTTATTAAATCATTACTTTCATCAATTGAAAAATAAATGTATAAATCTTTTTCAAAAATGAACTACAAATCAACATGAATATAGAGAGGGAAGACGAAGGTCACAAGATGTGTCCACTTAGATAAGAGTCTACCCATAATGTTCTGAGATAAATAACAAACATTGAAAAAAAACTGATAATAAAGTATCATTCTACTTTTTTATCTATTTATTATCCAAGTTCCGTTGAATCACGAGTTACCAAAAGATCCCGGTCATCATCTAAAATTTGTCTGATATGTAGCACATTCACAAAAAAAACTAGTCAGAAAAACTGATAGGAAAAGAATTACAAAAAAAAAGAAAAACAATTTTCTTAAACAAAAACCAAATGTTAGGATATAACTACTTAGAGTTGACGGTCCATTTTTCTGTCCGACTTGTTTCACGGCCCATGTGCTGTAGTTTGGTAATAGAAATTCGGATAGTTTTTTTTTTAATTCAAAAAATTTTCTTTTTCGAAATTAACTCGCAAACTAATAACATTTAGAGGATCATGTTTTCAGCATAGATTCTAAACTCTAGTTAGGTTATCTGATAGCATTTAACAAAAGGTATCTATTTACCAAATTAAAAAACTAATCGAAATTGGTTCTCACTAACTCATGATTTTCAAGTATAAAATTATCTCTCAATTTATGGACAAAAACGCAGTCTTCTTTTGTCATCAAACCAACTTTTCCAGGTAACAGGTTTTTCTCAGCCAAAAAATTCAGTAACACTGATCCTCTGTTGGTTAGTGAACATGATTTCTCCTTATTATTACAAAATGGTGGAACAAAGTTTTGATATTTTGAGTTCCTGGTATTTTATGCGAAACTTTTCAAAGAAAACATGGAATTTATAATCGTATAATCCGACTATCATATAACGTATAATCGTATATTTCGACTTTCTTATAAAAAAACATAATTGTATAATCCGACTATTCTATGACGTATAGTCGTATATTCCGACTTTCGTATAAAAAACGTATAATCGTATAAATTATACGTTTTCGATCACTGATCTCAATCGATCTCTTCGTACGCGATCCAAGAAGACATTTTGCTAAAAAGTTCCGATCACACCCATCATTTTTTTGCTAAAATTATGGGTGTGATCGGAACTATCTGTGTTACTTGCACAGCAACTGGATACTCTTGTTTCATTTAAAAGTGCCAACCTTCCGTCCTGGGTTCCGCGAGTCTCTCATTTCCCAGCACTCTTTCGAGCCCTCTCAAGTCACTTCAAGAAGCTCCTTTTCAAGACCACCACTAGGGGTGGAATACCACAACCTTCACCACATGCAACCATCAACTAGTAGTGGGTCTAAAATCAGAAATAATCCAAGAAAGCGTGATTCATCCGGGGGATTGAATCTAGTTCACGAGACCCCAATGTCAGTGGCAAGATCTACGACCGAACGTAGGGAGCATTTGAACAATCTCCCCCCTAAGTATACCAAGTGAACATTCTCCCCCTAAAGTTAAATGGCAAATTCAAGCTGTAAGGCTTGCATGTACTATGCTCAAATCTGATTCGCTCAAATGTAAGGCTTTTAAGCAAGTGAACGATCTCCTCCCTAAATTGATTTAGGGGCACTTGGTCCGACCGTGGTTCGAATTCAACTTGAATTGATCTGTTTTTGAATGACTCATTAAAGAATAGAATTTGTCCTATTATATGTTTCAAGTTGAAAACTCTCAAGTTCAACTTGCATTGCCTTTTTTTCGATGACCTACTCTTTGAAAGATTGAGAATTCGTTTTACTATGTTGCAGTGTTTATTTCAATTATTAAATTTCAAAGCAGTCAGTGACTAATTCTACTGTTTATAACCGCAAGTATTCATGCAGCTACCTTTATGGATAAGAACTTTTGAATATTGTCAAATGTGTTTTTGATGTCCATAGTTTTGCCCATAAGTGGAGCGTACATTTTTTGTTCGGTGCAAGATAGATGATTTTTTCCCAATTTCAAGAGTTCATATATGTTATAAATTACTTGAATTTAAAAGCTTTCTTGTTGCTAAACTTTGATTTCCTGGTAACTTTTCTTTCTTTTTGTTGATGGCACTTCTGTTTCTTTTACGAAATAAATTCATGTTCAATTACGAAGAAAGAAAAAATGAACCTCTGTTTCTCAAGAGTTGAAACAAATTGAACGTTTATTTAAACAGTATTCACTTTAAGAAGTAACTCTGAAAATATCTCTTATGTCTCACATTGCTGCCCGAAGTTATACAATATTATTTCATTTCACTATCGACAAGATTTATTACCCTTGTTCAAGGGTATTGCAATCGGGTACTAGACTTTTTCCCCGTAAACAACTTTGTCCACAGGATCTTCATTTCTAGAGGATCACTTCCAGAGGATCTTTCTTCTGGCATGCTCAATTTCATGAAAATTCAAATAAAAGTACTATCACTTAGCTAATAGTAAGTTTAAGCCCGTTTCAGGTTGTAATTATCTTTTCGAAAAAAAAATTCCGTTTTTTTTGCGAGTTCCTGGTTTTCGTCCTAGTTTCTGTCGTTTGATTTTCCATTTTTAAACGCCATTTTTTTTGTCTGGTAGAGCTTTTTTGGTTTAAATTTTAAAGCATGGGTTTTGTTTGTTCCATTTTAATCAGTGTTTACTAAATTGAAACTTCGCAAATATGTAAATTTACCATGTCTGATTTTGAAATTTTCCCCGTTTTTTTTTCTAATTGTCAAGCAGTTTCAGTTTATGCTCTATCGACTTAGTCAATTTATACTGCGTAATTTCCCGTGCAAAATGAATCCGTTTGGGATTATGTGTTTCAGTTTGGTTGGGTCGTAAAAAATTTTAAACTTAATGAAATTTTATGACAACAGTTTTGTTTTCGGCTCAACGGATTTCGACCCAAAGTTTTTCGCCTTTGTTGAAGCTCGTTAAATGATTTCCATTTGTAACGGCTGTTTATGAACTTCATCTGATGCAAATATGAAGTTTTCATAGCTGTAATTTTTCAAGTTTTGTCAAGTTATTTTTTCAAATAATTTTTCAGAAATTTTTTTTTACTTCTGTTTTTTTTCATTCACTATTTTGTAGCGCACTGTGTTTTTTTTTGCATCGCAAGTGTTGCAAAGCTCCACTTGGCCTCTGTGTAACAAAAAAAAACAGTTAAGAAAAAATAATTAAATTTTTTTATTATAATTCATTTCAGAGTAGACAATTTTTTTTCAGATCAGCATGGGTAGGGTTATCCGTGCCCAGAGAAAGGGAGCAGGGTCTATCTTCAAAGCCCACAACCACCACAGGAAAGGAGTGCCCAAACTGCGAAATCTAGATTACAGTGAACGCAAGGTCAGTTCAACGAGTTTTCTGGCATGTCACCGCTTGTTCCAGTTGATATCATAAATTTGAATTTTGCTCTAAAAAACTGCACGCAACCGTTTTTTTTTATAAAGAAATCAAATTTTTGTCCTAATTTGTGCTACAAATCAAGATTGAAACATCTTCGTGTTGCAGGGCTATATGAGGGGACTTGTGAAGGACATCATCCACGACCCAGGCAGAGGAGCTCCATTGGCAGTGGTGGAGTTCAGAGATCCATACCAGTATCGGAAGAGGAAAGAACTCTTTATCGCTTCAGAAGGTGAGTGAGTGGCATTTATTTTCTAAGTTATAATAAAATCAGATTTTCATAAAATTTGGCAGTATTACAGGGACTGTAATGGGAAGGACTCCAATGATGATATGTGCACATGGTTTATTTTTAACAAACATATTTAAGCTTGTTACCCAACCGTGTAAAACCTTTTTTTTACACTTGCGAGCTTGCGAAGCGTAGTGTATTAGTACGAACCTTCTTTATTTCTTACCTAACTCGCTAATAAAAAATTTATATTAAAAAAGTAAAGTGTTCACTTATTTGGTGGCAATTTTGCTATAATCGCGATCTAGCGTGGGAAATTTCATAGCATCTGTTCTCTGCTTTTTATGTGGCTAGTACTTGCGATCAATTAAGCGTCCGTGGCTGAGTGATTAGTGCGTGAGACCATAATCTCTACTTCGCAGTAGGACGCAGATCGAATTCGAGACGGAGCCGCATTTTTACTGAGCTCATTTCTACTTTTTCGTATTGCACTTTATAGAGCTGCTTTTTGTCGTGTTCTCGCTAGTGTTTGCGAAGCGAAACTTTGCCTCTGTGTAAACCATAACTATGATGCTCATGTGAGGTCCAGACCGAGATGCTGCGTTTTTTTAATTGACCCTGTGTCCAAATGGTTGGCCATGAAGCTTGATAGCCATCATATAGTTGAATGTTCACAATGTGCCTGAGCGCTAGGTGAGCCCTAGAAAGTAAATGACCACCGGGTTAGCCTCAGGCTACTTGACTAAAGCATGACAGCTCCGAGTACAAAAGGTTGCAGGTTTTTAGAATCCCCCGTAAGTAAACAAATGGCAAACAATTTCACTATGCTAACTAATTATTTGCTCTTGGTCTTTCGAAAGCTTTCTTTTAATTTTTTCAGAAGGCAATTTTTCTAGGTCTCTTCACTGGTCAGTACATCTACGCTGGAAAGAAAGCGGCTCTAACCACTGGAAATATCCTCCCAATCGGAAACATCCCAGAAGGAACACTCGTTTGCTCAGTGGAAGAAAAGACCGGAGATAGAGGAAAACTAGCCAAAGCTTCTGGAGATTTTTGTGCAGTAATTTCACATAATAGTGACACGGGAAAGACGAGGATCAGGATGCCATCTGGATTGAAAAAAGGAATAGACAGCGAAATTCAAGCTCGTTAAATTAGTTAAATCTCTCTTGAAGTATTCGATTGCGGTCTGTATTTATTTTGAGAACTTTGCGTTCTCTCCCATGGAACTTTATTTCTCCCAGGTTTCAATGCAATCACTGCACTCTTAAATTCGTATCGGCTGCATAAATTTCAGGCAAGAATGATTCAGTGTTACACAGACTTTACTCATCAAATCACTCAACAAAAACTTGATTTCTTGATGACAGAATTCTTGTCTTTCTTTTTTGTGAAACACTTCGTTTTTTTTTTAAATCTTTTGAATGATTTTAGTACCTTGAAAAAAGATATCGTTCAACTGATAGCTTGAATTTCTGCTGTTTTTTCAAGTTATTTCATCTAAGAACCGAGCAATGATCGGGATAGTAGCTGGCGGTGGTCGAACTGAGAAGCCTCTTCTGAAAGCAGGGCGTGCTTACCACAAGTTCAAGGTAATTGAGAGAACAAAACCGGCTCATTTCTAAAGTCAGCTCTCTCTCCGCCTTGCTTAATTCGAAATTTTGTGGTATTACAGATTTGCATTACTCTTTCGTGGCTAAGTTTTTTGTGTTTGTGGAGTGCAGCTCCGCCTCCGTGTTGAAAAGTGTGTCCAAATTTGATTGATGTGTTCCAGGTGAAGAGGAAGTGTTGGCCTGTGGTGAGGGGAGTGGCCATGAACCCCGTGGAACATCCCCACGGAGGAGGAAACCACCAGCATATTGGCTCACCCAGCACTGTAAAGAGGCAAGTGGAGAAGGAGTCATGTTTCAGACGCTATTTACACAAGCAAAGCTTGTGTTATAGTTTGAACTCTCTTTTTTTCCAACCTAAGTCGCAAATATTGTTGGGACACAATTATTGTTGCGACAAAATAAGTTCATTTTGACCAATAACCAGCTATTAAGTACAGCCAATGCTAAGGATATTAACACAAGTTATTATATTACAAATAGCACTTTAGCTTCAAAGTATGATGGAACTGTAGCGTAGAGGTAGGGAAGTAGACCAACAGCAAAATACGAGGTTTCGAACCTGGGCAGGGTCGGATGTTTTAATGAACTTTTTCGTATACTAGCTAAAATGCGTCCGATTGGTAAATTGAGGAATGTTAGTTGGTAAATTTCTTTTTTTTTCAAACTGACAGGTACTGCTAATGCGTCATTATTGACTTGCGTCACTTAGCAATTATGTAGACTCATAATTGGCGTGCGTCACTTAACAAAATTTTGTAGACTCAAAGTTTTTCTCATTCAGTTTTTCCCAGTTGCGCAATCGGTCAAATGTGTATGTGAATTACAACTTCGCCTCTGTGTTTACAATTGAAATATATATGGTTATGCAATCGCAGATAGTATTACAATGCTGATTTAAATTATCCGGACAAAAGGCCTTAAATTTAAAACCTATTTTTCTCAACTTGAGTTGACTTCAGACAAAAAAAATGATGAAGACAAAACCTGCTTAGAATTTCAACAAAATTAAAATGGTGCAATTCGTCTTGAGAAATTTAGGCCCTAAATTTTACCCCAAAAAGGGAAGAGCTATGGCTTTTTTAATCAAATCAAAAATTACGCCAAAAATTATCAAGTCGATCACTGACTACATCAAAGTGAGCCTCTTACGTGGCGCAATGAATTTAAAAGTATACTCTCCAAAGTTTTTGCGCAAAATTTAAAAAATTGGTTTTAAATAAAAATTTTGTTTTTTATAAAGTAAAAACTACCTTTTTTGTCTATCAAACAAAAATAAATTTATTTATACAATGTTTTGGAGATTATTAGCTAGCCCCTCAGCTCCTTTATTGAGATACATGGGAGGCTCATTTTAGTATAATTTTGGCAGTGATCGACTTGTTACTTTTGGCCTAATTTTTGATTGACTAAAAAGTCACATATTCAGTTTTCAGGGTAAAATTTTGTCGACCCGAATGTCTCAAAATAAATTGCACTATATTAATTTTGCTGAACTTCTAAGCAACTTTTGTCTGCGTCATTTTTTTGGCTTAAGTGGAAACTGTTCACTTATTTGGTGGCACTTCTGCTTTTATCACAATCTAGCATTGGAAATTTCATAGCATCTGTTCTCTGCTTTTTTTGTGGCTAGTGTGTGTGATTTACTAAGCTTTCGTGGCTGACTCGCTAGTGCGTAAGACTCATAATCTCTCAAGTCACAGATCGAATCCGAGAAGTAGCCGAATTTTACTAATTTGAGGCTTATTTCTATTTTTTCAAATTCTTTTTTATAAAGTTGCTTTTTTGCCGTGTTCTCGCTAGTGCAAAGCGCAGCTTCGTCTCTGTGTAAAGCGATACTATTTTATTTTTGTAGCCAAATTTAAAATGTATTTTTTTTGGACACTACATTTTATCACACTAAGAGTCAATGAACTTAGTGTATTAGTGTGACTCTACTTTTTTCTAGCCTAACTCGCAAATAAACATGCTAATTTGCTAGCACATTTTGCTGTAATTGCGAACTGTGGCATCGGAATTGCCATAGCATCTGTTTTCTGCTTTGTTGTGGCTAGTGTTTGCAAGTGTTTGGATAGCTTCCGTGGCTGAGAGAGAAGGAAACGAGACTCCCTAACTCGATATTGCTGGTTTGAATCCGACCCTTAGCTGAAGGGTTAAATTCGAGGTTTATTTCGATGTTTTTTATTTCGTTGTATAGACCTGTGACGTTTTTAATTGCATTTAATGGACCTGTTTTTTGTTGTTTTCTCCCTAGTGTTTGCGAAGCACAGCTTCTTTTCTGTGTTGAACCTATTATTGGCAGAAAGAATAATAGACGATATTCTGCTCGCTAATTATTTAAATAAAAGTTTATCTGAAAAAAATTGCTTAAAAGTACCACGAGTTCTATAAGAATATTTGTTTTAGTAAACCTCAGCTGGTTTTTGACAATTTTCTGAGTCTTGTTGTCAAAACATGATGAAACCCTGTAAACATTGTTCGGTCGCTTTTTCATTCTCCCACGCCCTCCCCTCTCTTTTCTTAAAATAGAAGTTTCGTTTCTAGGAGCACATTAGTTCGCACATGCTTAACTGTTGAGTAAGTACTTCATAGGGGTGGAGATTTGTTACTAGGTGACGAGAAATCATAGGGAGGGAAATTGTGAAGTTGATCCATGTTGTTGTTTCAGGTCAACACCTCCGGGTCGCAAAGTGGGTCTGATAGCAGCCAGAAGAACTGGTCTGATCCGAGGAGGCAGGAAGGAGAAATTAGCCGAGAAGGAGTGAACAAAAAAGTAAACAAACAACAATTGGGATGAAGCCGGAAACTGAGCTGATGATATTTGTTTTGGTTGCTTAGTTGTTGATTGATGAATGGTTTAAAGTTAAAGTTGAGCCAATAGATTTTGCTCCGCTGATTGTTCCGTTTTTAACAGTACAAGCCTGAGAGTAATAGTTCTAAAATCACTAATGGTTTCCTTGGAGAGATTTAGCCCATGCGCCGATAATTTACTCCTGAATTCAATCTATTTCACCAAGCACATGCGACGTTTTGTGTTGAGTCAATTTAACTGACTTTTCGCTGGTTATATTTTGTACACTAAACTTTATTTTAACTTAGTAGTTTCCAAATTAACTGTCGAAGAATCATTAGGTAACTAATTGTCTTTTTGGTTTTTGATATACGACTGTTACGTTTTCGTTTTGAGCGTATTATTTGAGTGCATATTTAATTATGTTTTTGTTATTCCATCCAAACCCATAATTTTAGGACCCATATTATAGGATCTAAACCCAATTATTAGGAATTCCAAACGGACTTTTTTCATAGATTTTGAGCGTATTATATGATTTACTCCAGTTTAATGTGGGTTTTCAGATAAATTTTGTGATAATAATGGGAAAGAAGAAATCCAACTATCTCACAGCTTCCGGCTTCAGCAACTTCGGTCTGGACGACCCAGTGTTGAAAGGTGTGGTCAGGAAAGGCTACAACAACCCCACCCCCATTCAGAGGAAGTGTATTCCTATTATAATGGAGGGAAAGGATGTGGTGGCTATGGCTAGAACGGGCAGTGGAAAGACGGCCTGTTTCCTGCTCCCGATATTGCACAGGTGATTCCTACGTATTTAGAGAGTTTTAGAGTCCTACGTATTAGATTGGTTCTAGTTTTTTTTATTTTGATTTCACGCAAAATCAGGTGCCTTAAATTGTTATTGGAAATTCAAAAAATTGTCCTGAAGTTTTTTTCGTGCATTTTTTGCAGAAAGTTGTTGCCGATTGTTTTTTTTTAGTTGCGAATGTTCTACTCGTTCGAGCAGTGTTCTATCTCATCACACCACGCACAAAAAAAAACGACACAAATTTGGAAAAAACTCAAAATTGACCTAATATTTATTTTTATTAAGTGTCAATGAACGAAGTGAAGACACTTATTTAGTTCGTATGGTTTTTTAATCATTTTTTTTTTCAGTTGAATTTGTCACGCTCAAATTTGATTGATTTGGCAGCTTGACCTTTGATTGCTTTTCATTTCGAAGTCATTTGTTAAAAGAGTGGCGAATTCGCTTTCTAATTACGAAAGTCCAGATGGTGCAAAAAACGTGAATGAAAGCGGTAGGAACATTTATCCATTGACCCAGGTTTTTCCAATTGGGTTTGTTGAATGAAAACGTCTTTGAAAAATGTCATTCATAAAATTCTCAACCACGGAGAGATTGAACAACAAAAATACGTTTATTTTGGTTGCCTTGAGTCGGTCGACACTTACGAAAGAAAGAATGTAAATAACATAAAAAACCTACCATTAGAGAATCATAGTCTGAGACTTAGAGAGGACCGACAAGGGGATCATATGTTCCACTGAGCGTCTGCTCCTAAATGCAGAAATAATAAGGTATAAACTAAAAAAATAAAATAAATGAAAAAAAAATATTTTCTTGAGCCTCGATTTTTCATAACAAAAAAGTTTCCTTAAATATATTTCAAAACTTGAGGCAATCTGGTGTCCAATTCTCTGTGTCGCTTGCTTTTGCATTGCTGTTTTCTTTATAAGATGATGTGATCGGTTTTTTTTTCGATAAAATTGTGCTAAATTTTTTGAATTTTTTTTTGAATAAAATTTGTATTGGAAGGTCATTATTTTCCACAGAAATTGCAACTTCTCTCACTGAGAGTGTCCTGCAGTATTTAACCGATGAGAGATTTTTAAAGTTATCTAAGCTCATAATGTATCTAGCGAATTCCCAAGTTTGAAATAAAAACGTGGTATTTCCTTAAAATAACTTTTTTTTTTCAATTTGTACGGGCAGCAGTTTTAGGGTATACAACTAGCACGCTCTAATACCGTATCGAGAATGTTTGAATTTTCCACTTACAAAAAGGTTCCGAAAGTAATTTAGCACTAGAACTTCTTGTGAGTTTCATAGGAGGTTTCATTCAAAAAACACTCACAATGCAATTTGTTAACAGATTTTAGACAAATTTCAAAAGTTCTTAGATATGATACTCATGATACTCATGACAGTCAGTAAGTTATCTTTTTTTTCGATTGATACTTTTTCAACTTTCTATTGGCTATGTTTTCTTGTTATATGCCAATGTTTCCTTGTGTAGACACGTGTTTAGGCGGTGCGGTCTTGCTATTTTTTCAGTAGTTTATATGTTAACTGATTTGAAATTTGAACTGCTTATAGCTCAGGTTTTATAGCATTCGTTTTCAAACTCCAGGTTGCCTTTTTTTGAAAAATGGTATTCAGATAAGGACATAGATTAAAGCCATTTTGCGTTCAAAACTATTATAATTGATAATCTTTTGGTTTTTTGAGCCATTTAGGTTCATTGTAGTGTTTTGAAGTTTAAATTTTTTGTGGTCAACGAATTCTAGATTTCCTTAACCGATACTTCTTGTCGAACAAAATATGTTGCAAATGTGTAACTGATAATAATCTCTGTTCTTTAAGCTTGAAGGAGCACAACACAGTCAGCGGTGCCCGAGCTTTGATCCTCTCGCCAACTCGAGAACTAGCAATGCAAACACACCAGTTTTTCAAAGAACTGGCAAAATACACCGGACTCAGATCCAGTGTAATTATCGGTGGCAGCAGCCTCGATAAGAACTTCGAATCAATACATAGTCATCCAGATATTATAATTGCTACTCCTGGACGTTTGAATCACGTCCTCGTTGAAATGGATCTGAAATTGAACAATGTCAAACATTTTGTCCTAGATGAAGCGGATCGCTTATTTGAATTGGGTTTCTGTGACCAGATAAAACTGATTTCCAAACAAATTGGGGTTCAACGACAAACACTTCTATTTTCAGCGACATTGCCTCAAACATTAACGGAGTTCTTAAGAATTGGCTTGCATGACCCGGTTTTGATCCGACTCGATAAAGATGAAAAACTAAGCGAACAGCTGAAATTAAACTACATCAGCTTAAGAAGTATCGAGAAAATCCCGCTTTTGCTTTACCTTTTGGGCGAAAAACTAGACAGTAAAGATAAAACGGCTGTTTTTCTACCGACTAGACATTATGTTGAGTACGTGCATGAGTTATTGACTAGAATGAGTGTTGAAAGCACGTTTATATACAGCTCGTTAGACCAAGAAGCGAGGACAGAAAATATTGAAAAATTCTCAAACCGAGCTAGAATTTGCAATATTTTACTCGTTACAGATATAGCAGCACGAGGAATAGATATACCAATTTTGGATAACGTGATCAATTTCAACTTTCCATGTTCACCGAAGTTATTTGTTCACAGAGTAGGAAGGGTTGCGCGATCAGGTCGGCCTGGACTCGCGATCAGTTTTGTAACTTCAGAAGATTTGTCGTACTATGTGGACGTGCATTTGTTTTTGGGACGGGAAATAAGTTTAGCTGAAGTAAAAAGTACTGATGATGAAGATGGATTGCTCGGTGGTGTTAATAAAAGTAAATGCGATACAGCGATAGATTACAATACTAGTTTCCTGTAGGTCTTACTGCTTCTTATTTTTCGTAATCGGCGAAATAGATTGTAGTTTAAGTAGATTACTCAGAGTTTCGAAATTAATGCGCGTAATGCGAAAAAATGATTATAAGCGGCTCAGGGGAAATTCGGAATTTAAACAGAATTCGACCGTCACCAGGTTAGTGTATCTAAGCGATATTTTTTATATTAAATTTTATGTGTGTTAATTTGCACAGTTGGCGTTGAGGTAACATCTGAGACTTATCTGCCTTCGGATGGCAGTTCGACTCTCATTTGGACTTTCAATATTTTTTTATTTCCCTTTGCTCGTAATGTTCAAAAAATGTGGCCTATATTATATCGTCCTTAGTCATCTCGTGTTTTTCGTTTGAGGTGCAAAATTGATAGTTAAGGTTAATTGAGCTTGGATGTAGTTTCAACGTTTTTTAGCTCAAAATTTCTATGACGATTAAGTTTTTTGTCGGTTCGAGGAGCGTCTTTATGTCGTCTCATTTACCGCTCGATATTAGTTTCTTAAGGCTGGTTTGTGGATGGTAACTGTTTTTGTTTCCTCAAAGTTAACTGCGTTATAGTAACTCGAGACAAATCTTTTTATTCACAAGCAAAGCTTGTGTTATAGTATGAACTCTTTTTTTTCCGACCTAAGTCGCCAATATTGTCGCGAAACAAATATTGTTGCGACAAAATGTGTTCTTTTTGAACAATAACCAGCTATTAAGTACAGCCAATGCTAAGGATATTAACACAGACTAGTATATTACAAATATCACTTAAGCTTCAAAATATAATGGATCTGTAGCGTAGATGTATGGTAGGAGATCAGCAAAAAAATAACAGGGTTCAAACGTGGGCAGGGTTGGATGTTTTTAATGAACTTTTTCGTATACTAGCTAAAATGCGCCCGCTCTACAAACTGAAGCATGTTAGTTGGTAAATTTGGCCGCTCTTCAAATTGAGGCATTTTAATTGGCTTGCGTCACTTAGCAATTATGTAGACTCATAATTGGCGTTCGTCACTTGAGAATTTTTTTGACTCAAAGTTCTACTCATTCAGTTTTTCCGAGTAGCGTTATCGGCCATATTTTCGTTCGAGTATGCGAAGTGAAACTTCGCCTCTGTGTCATATCTATCTATTCTTTAATTGGCGTTTCATTTGACACAGAGTTCTCCTAAACATGTCAACATAGGGACTTCTTAAACATGTGTCAAATGAAACGCCAATTAGGAGAACTCTGTTTGCATGTTTAATTTTTTTCAACGTCTTAATTTTTTGCATGTTTAACGAAGGTGTTTTTCACGTCTTAGCTATATCGTATATTAAAACGCTTAAGAAATGTCATTTGGCACATGTTTAAGAAGACTCTATGTTGGTATGTTAAAAGGCCAAAAAATTGCAAGGGTTGAAAAGTTTACTCAAGTCAGCGTTTCAAAATCTGTGGGAGCTGGAATGCTTTAACATTTTTTCCTTTATTCGCAAGGTAAAACTATCAATGTTTTTGTTTCACAATTTATTTATTTAATTTTAATTTTTCAATCCTATCAGTGGTATCAGGGCAGACTCAAAGGCTGTACTTCCTTTTGGTTTTCGAGATATGGCGTTTTTTTATTTTTATATACTTTTTTCATAAAATTGATATATGAAAAAACTAACCGAATTTGAAATTATCAGTCCTATAGTGGGGTACGGCCTTGTTATAAATTGAGGAGTTGCAAATCTTTTGTCCAAGTATGATTGCTCAAATCCTGTTGGCATTCGAGATATTGCGTTTTCTTTAATGTTTTTCTTTTTTTTTCAAAATTTTAGATATAAAAAGCTAACCGAACTTTCTCAGCCTTATAGTGTGGAGCTATCAGGGTTCACTCAGGGGTTGTAAAGCTACCGTCCGAGTATGATTGCGCAAATCCTTATGAAATTTTCATTTAAACTTAGATATAAAAATAATAACCAAACTTGAAATGTTCAACCCTTCAGTGATTTGCTGTCAATGTACATTCAGGGGTTGTCCAAGTATGACTACTCAAATCCTTTCGCTTTACGAGATATGGCGTTTTTTATGATTCTTTCATTTAAAAAAAACTAACCAATCTTGAAATTATCAACCCTGTAATGGGGGTGTTGTCAGGGTACACTCAGAAATTTTAAATCTGGCGCCCAAGTATGACTGCTCAAATCTTGATGGTTTTCGAGATATGGCGGTTTTTAATGATTTTTCTTTTTTATGGCGTTTTTAATGATTTTTCATTTTTTTTTTTTCAAAAAACCTAGATTTAAAAAATTAACCGAACTTGAATTTTTTAACTCTATAGTGGGGTGCTATCAGGGAACACTCAAGGGTTGAAAATCTGGCCTCCAAGTATGACTACTCAAATCATTTTGGTTTTCGAGCATGGCGTTTTCTATGATTTTTTGAACTTTTTGTTTTTCAAAATACTCACATATAAACAATAATAGTAAAACTTGAAATTCTCAACATTATGGTGGTATGCAGTCAAGGTACACCCAGGGGTTGCAGTTCTTCCTTCCAAATTTGACTGCTCGAATCCTTTTGATTTCCGCGATCTGGCGTTGCACATTCGGCGTTGCTAAGTTTGACTGCTCAAATCCTTTTCCGAGATGTGGCGTTTTTTCGAAGAAGAAGAAACGCCTGATACATGAGCCCAGTTCATCTTCACAGTTGCAATAGGTATGTTAGTAGATCTAATTGTAGCACCGTAGGTGCGAGTCATGCGCTAGTCTTTTTTATTTGGCTTTTTCAATTTTTTTAGTGTCGATTTCGACTGCGTTGAGTTTTACTGCGATAGTTTGATAAGATTTTGAGTGAGTAATTTCTGTAAAATGATTCGTCGTTGCATATAAGATATATATAAATTTCAAGGAACGTTTTTTGATGCCATGTTTGGTTTTTTGTTTTTGAGTCAATTGCTGCCCTTTCATCTCAATTGATAAAAACTGTAAGTGAAACACTTAATCTGAAAATATTTTGCCAGGAAAATATTTTGCCAGGAAATTTGATAACCCTCACTTTTAATTTTAACGGTTTTACCTTTGATTAGCTTTTTAGTTCAATTCAAATTCATTTGCTAAAATGAGGCAACTTCCAATAACGAAAAAGTAAATGGAGCAAAAACGTGGATGCATTCAGTTAAGAGAGTGGGTTTAAGTTCTCCAATGGTGTCAATGCTTAGTATCATTTGTAAAATGAACTGTTTGGGTACCATGTGTTTTGCAGTGGTGTGGTGAACGGTAAAATTATTTAAGAGTCGAGGTTCGTAATTCAGGCTCTTACATAGCTTGCCATGCTTTTTTTGAGAAAACTTTTAACATTTGTTCAGGCTGAAATTTACTTTCTCGGGGTGTGATTTTTGATTTCTTGTTAAGTTCAGTTCATTTCTTTTGTAAACAGGAAATTCGAAATGTAAGATGAAATTCGAAATGTAAGATTTTTTCAAAAAATAAGTATTTTTTGGTTCACTTGAGTTTTTTTTTTGGTTCACTTGCGTATCACTTACTGTCTGCTGGCTATGTTAGCTTTTCAAATTCCAGAGACATGGATCACTTGTTTACCCAATTCTTCTTAATCGAAATGTCCCCTAATAAGTATCATTTCAACCAGATTTTTCTGGATCTTAACAGATATACTTACTATTGTAATCTTTCACTACAAGGTGTGGTTGCCGATTATTTGGACAAAATGAACAATCTAGCCAGCGTGGATGACGCAGACATAGTTTCATTGCGCGAAACAGCAGAACGAAGTCTGATTCAGTATGCTAAAACATGTCCTTCGTCATGTCACGAAAGTTCAAAAAGAGCGAAAGAATTAAACTTGGAGAATTTACAAATTCATCCATTTTTGAGGCTGAAGAATACAGATACAAATGTTCAAGATTTTCTGAACAGTATCAAAAATTACAAGTCTCAGAAAACTATTTTTGAAGTTAACCCGACGAGAAATATGAACGCGTATCAAGTAATGCAAAACTCAAGAAAGCGAAATGGTGAAAGTATTGAAGATTTTGCAGCTAAAAAGGCACGAAAAGTTGCAGAAAAGATAAAACATGACAATGAAAAAGTTTCAAAAGGCTTTATTCCTTATAACTCAACAACCCAGCATTTCGAAAAGGGTCTTGAAATTAGTCAATTTGAGAAAGAAATTAGAAGCTCCGCTTTTGACATTATCGTTGACGACGAAAAAAAGTTGTCTGAAAAACGCGCGCAGAAAGTATGGGACCGAAAGTTGAAAAGGTATAAAGGGTTAAGTGAGAATACGAAGAAAATTACTACTGAAAGTGGCGCTAAAATTAATGCTTCTTTCAAAACAGGAAGATACGATGCATGGTTGAAAAATAACAAAGGCTCGAAAAATGCTTCAAATCAGAATTTCGAAGCATTTGTTAAATCTTCACACAGCGAAGCGAATAATCCGAATGCTCAAAGTGAATTGAAAACTACAGATCAAGTGGCGAAATTGAGACGAAAGAAAGCGCGACGAATGGAGTTTGATCAGAGACGTTATCAAGAGCGAAAAGCGAGGAAAGAGGGAAAAGGCGGAGGAGGCGGCAATATCCAGAAAGCGAAAAAATCGAAGTCGAAGAAAAAGAAGTAATGCGTGAAAGCAAATGTTAAGAAACGAAATAATGTAGATTTTATCATTGATATTTCTTTGATATTAATTGAAATATCTGATCGTCTTAATTTTTTCACGCTACTCTTTAAGTAGTCATTTCGTTTTTTTGTTCATTATATTTCATAATCAACTGAATTTTTTCAGCGAGCAGTTTTAGTGGGCAATAAAACTGCTCAGATCTTTGTACTTGTAAATAAAAGTCAGTTATGAAGCTGAAGATTTAAGACTCCATAATCCGGTGCCTTTGTTTTTCAGACATTTTTGATCATCCAATATTCGCCCAAAATGCAAGGATTCTTAACCGGCTACCAAACTAACAAGGACAAAATAGCCCTAGCTGAGTCAAGTGGCGATCCGTCTTCGTCTAAGGCCCTTTTTTTGAAGAGTTCAAACCAGTCTTCAACTGCAACTGAGAAACCATGGGTGGAGAAGTACAGACCAAAGACCATTGATGACATCGCCCATCAGGAAGAAGCGGTCAAGGTTAGTACTCGTATTAGTAGTATAGGCTTTGGGACAATTGTCCAAGGGGTTCACCCCTCAGTTTTCATCTGGATGGTTCTAGAGATTCAAAAGTTTTTTTTAAGAATTCCCAGAAATTGAATGGGATCAAGTTAATTTAATAGCCCCCTCTCTCAATTGAGGAAACAAAGCTTACCTTAATTTAAGAGGGAGGGAGACTGTTCACGTTCCTGAAAATTTGGTTTTCAGCCTATCATAATTGAAGATTTTACTTGCTGTGTATAAAATAATGTTTCATTTTGAGAGGCAAAAAACTTCACTTGGTAATTTGCTGTGTTATTAAAAAAGCATTGCTGTAATTTGACATGGGGGAATAAAAATGGACAATACTTGGCTTACGCAATAGCTCACTGTTATGATGGTTTATAGGTTTTGAAAAACCTGATTCAAAATCCGGCTGGTTTCCCGAATCTTCTATTCTACGGCAAACCAGGAACTGGCAAAACATCGGCAATTCTGGCAGTGGCAAGACAAATGTTTGGAAGCTTGTATAAAGAGAGAGTTTTGGAACTGAACGCTTCGGACGAACGAGGAATTCAAGTTGTTCGAGAAAAGGTCAAAACTTTCTCGCAACTGGCCTGCTCTTCTACGTTGAGAAATGATGGAAAATTCGCACCGGCTTTCAAACTTGTGATTTTAGACGAAGCCGATTCAATGACAACTGCGGCGCAAAGTGCGTTAAGACGAACGATGGAAAAACAGTGCAAAAATACACGATTTTGTTTGATTTGTAATTACGTCAGCAGGATAATTGACCCCATAACTTCACGTTGTATGAAGTTCAGATTCGAAAGTTTACCCGAAGGTGTTATGACTAGACGATTGGAGCAAATAGCCGAAAGCGAGAAGCATATAAAAGTCGCGGGCCCTGAAGTTTACAAAGAGTTAATTCGGGTAATTGAAGGAGATATGCGAAAGTCGATCACGTTGTTGCAAAGTGCTTCACGTTTTGCGGATGAAATTACTGTTGAAACTATTTCCGAATTGGCAGGAGTGGTTCCAGATGACGTAATCGAGACTTTTATATCTGCCACGAAACAGTCCAAGATTACGCAATTGCAAACGATTGTGAATGATGTAATTCTCGATGGATATCCAGCCAATCAGGTGTTAGGGCAAGTGGCGAGAAAGATTCTGTCGGATCCGTTTTATACCGATATTGAAAAAGCGAAGATTTTCGATCGTATTGGCGTGGTTGACCATCGATTGAACCAAGGAGCGAATGAGTATCTGCAATTGTTGGATTTGGCTACGACTTTATTGCAAGTTAGCCATCAAGCAAACTGAAAGACTCAAACCTAAAAACTAACTTGAACTCTAATTGAAGTCATGTCACTTTCTTGTGAAGGCGGCGTGAAATTTTTGTAATTGAATCATTTAACTATGCTGATTCTTTTGAATGTGTTTGAATACTGTTTGTGTTTGAATTATGAATACTGCTCGTCTTTGTATTATGCAATAGTCGCTGTCAATTTAACTTAGAAATTGGAATTTTCCCTTTTTTGTTTCCCCTTGAAGTGTTCACTCGCCAGATCTGTTTAAAATTTAAAAAGCAAAGTTTTCTTGCTCCTTGAATATCTCTCGGGGGTCTTGTAGGTTATCCGCTGAAAAAGTACCAAGATTTATTCCATAAGATATGCTCAAATTAATGATGCTGGAAGTGCGTTTCCTACTGATTTTTTGCCTGTCGAGGGACCTCTTTTGCAATAGGTGGGAAATAGTTAGAAAACCTGGTCGAGTAGTTTACTTATCATATGAATATCTGGCGTCAAAATAACGTGAAAACTGCTTTATGCTTGCGTGGACATTATTTTTCTAGATGCTGAACAAGTCTAATAGTTTTATTCTCATTAAGTAAAAAGCACGTTCAGAATTAGTTGGGTGTGTGATTTATTTTGAAAATCCAAAACAAACAACTCGAAGTCAGCTTGAAGATTTAAGCTAGTTTTTGCAAACTCTCTGTTAATTCGTTGGTAAACCAGTCTGGTATCTTATGATTTCATTAAAACGTTATATCGTTTTTCTTCGTTGTTTATAAAAAAGCTGCTGATTGTTTATTTTCTGTATTCTCTGAGTTAAGTCAGTATTTGCATAATCATAGGTATCGCAAAATGGCACGTATCTTTGTTTTTCTCGACGAAATCGGTCCGAACCTAAAATGGTTCAAAAATGATCAAAACGTCCTGGATGAAATCGCTCGCGCTTTCAAAGTTGACCGGATACCTCAGGTTCTCTATGATGTAACAGATGATGATAATAATAGAGTTCCAATAACTACTGAAAACACTCCATTGGTTGCCGGGAAATCCTACTTATGGGTGAATGAAGCGGAGAAATGGGAGGACAAACAAATTGAAGCGGAGAAATGGGAGGACAAACAAATTGAAGCGGAGAAATGGGAGGACAAACAAATTGAAGCGGAGAAATGGGAGGACAAACAAATTGAAGCGGAGAAATGGGAGGACAAACAAATTGAAGCGGAGAAATGGGAGGACAAACAAATTGAAGCGGAGAAATGGGAGGACAAACAAATGGTTCAAACTGCTCTGTTCAGTGCCATGTCGTGTTACCAAGATAAGCCTTTAGAGTATCTTCAAGAAACTAAACAATTCCACGGAATAACTCGACTAATTGCGGCAAATGCGTATTTTGAAAACCAAGCTGCTTCTATATTTGTTTCGGACTCAGAAAATCCTACGAAGAGAAAAGGAACGCTAATCATTGCATTCAGAGGATCTGAGACCTTGGATGACATTCAAACTGACTTCAACTTCGAATTTCAATCTGACGATAGATTTGGTGGGAAAATTCACGGAGGTTTTCTAGAACGAATGAAAAAAATCACCTTGGAGAGTTTATTTGAAATAGCTTACATCAACAAAGTCGACCACATACTAACATGTGGACATTCTCTGGGTGGAGCTGTATCTACTTTGGTCCATTTCAACATACTCCAAACCCTTTCGCAAGACAAGGAGCCGTTTGTCAATTCCGAAAACGTTGTCAATATGACATTTGGAGCGCCATTGTTAGGCAACTACGAATTCGAGAAATATTTATCCGACAAGAATTTCACCAGAAATGTTTTCAGTTTTGCTTCTGTAAATGATGTTGTACCGATAGTCCTATCAGTAGGGCACGTCTTCAAAACTTTGCAGCAGACTCAACAGCTTGCCCGAAATGTCGAGGCTCAAATTCGAAAAGCCACAACGCTTTTTGAGACTTGCCTCAAAGTAGCAGCAAGAAAGTCAGATGAAAACGTAGTTGATAATGTACATCGAGAAATGACGATTTTAAAATCAACTCTCTAGCTTACAGGAAGATTTCACTAGATTTCAAGAGTTAGCTTACGTTCCGATAGGACAATTTTTGCTGATTCAGAGGTACGAGCCTGAGGTACGAGCCTTCAGAGGTACGAGTCAGAGGTACGAGCCTTCAGAGGTACGAGCTGATTCAGAGGTACGTGTTGAAAATTTATACAATAATCCGAATTTTGTCGAAAGAGTTCTGCAACCGGCTATCGAGTACACAGCCGATAATTCGCTCGACATAATAAAAAATCATTCGCTTGAAGCCTACATTGAGCTCATCAAAACTAATTTTCAAGGTTTTGTCTATTTTCCGGAGTCCCAAATTTTGATTGAAAAAAAGGATCACAGGAAGTTTGCAGGGAGTAAAGAAGGGCTTATTTATAAGTTCGACAGTGTATGTCCTAATACATGTGGGGCACCAAACTGCGAAGAAACAGATTCGCTGGCCAAAACTTCTCAAGCTATCGTCCTCTGTCGAACTTGTAAGGAGGATCCTAGCACGTTGGAGTTCTATTTTCACAAATCTTGCTCTCAGATGTTTCACATCAACGAAATCAAAGATCACAAAATTGCAAAGGTACACAGGGAAGAACTCATGAGATCCTCTGACGAATGCGGAACACGTATTCACAGTCGAGTTCCAAGCAGAAGTAAATTCGACATATTATTAAGTGGAATGCCCGGGGCCTGGCAATGGCATTTTACAAATATTGGAGTGGACAGCGTGGCTTTTTATCGCGACCAAATCAGCGCTATTGAGTTTGCTTTACACGCAAAACGAAACTTATGGGTAGGTTCTGCTGCAGGTTTAGCTGGGACCGTATGTGCGGCATTGGGAATTGCATTGGGTATTCGGACAGGCAGCACCCCTCGTACTTCAAATATTTTTTGGTTAATTGGGTCCATGATAGGTGGTGCCGTTGCAGCAGTGACCACTGCTACAGTTAGCGTAAAATTAGGTTGGTTCACAAAACCAGAGGATGAACAAAAGACCGATGTGATCTTAAACGCGCTTCTGATCTTAGAAGTCCCCCTTCCTAATCGAAACTTCAGGGAAATCAGAGACGATGACGTTATGAAGTGCTTCAGGAGGAAAGCCCTTCAATATCACCCGGACGAACTGCCTTCCAATGCTTCCGAGCAGTTAAAGCAGGAAAACTCTCTCGCCTGGAATCGGATTGGTTTTTCCAGAAGTGTCTTGATATCCTACTGTCAAGACCGAACATGCCTATCGAATGCTGTCGTGAAAATGATCGATAAGAAATGGCGAGCTCAAAGAGATTGAAATTGACATGAACAAAATGCAGGAAAACATTGACATACTTCGGAGACTTCGAAGTCCCGTGGCTAGCACCAACTGAGCTAATAAAAACAATCTACTGCACATGCGTGACTATGAGCAATCAACGGGCAGTTATATTTCGAAGTAATTTCTTTCTTTTTTCGTGAAAACTAACAGCATTTGTAACGAGGCATCATTTCCTCCCTTCGAACCTAAACATGTAACTGCAGAAAATTTTGATGAATTTTTACTTGGAATTATAATATTTCCGGTCGACCGGATGCAGAAGTGAATTAATGATGCGACTCGTTTTTACAGGAAATATTTTGTAGACTCAATGAACGTAAAGAAGGCACTTATATATTTCTTAGTGATTTTTTTGTTTTCAGCAAATTTGATTTTTCGCGGTTTCACTTAAAAATTTTTGTAGTTCACTTTTGTTCCTTTGTTAAAAAAAAAGGCTAACTCCATTATCGAAGGGAAAAAAGGTAAAGTTCAGAAAAACATGATCGATTTCTATTTTTGAAAGTGGATTATAATCTTCAGGTTTCTGAACGAAATGAAAAATTTACCTATTGGTCCAGTTTTCTCAAATTGAGTTTATTTTATTGAAAAAGTGAAAACAAGTCAGATTTTTCCGCGTACATTGATTGCGTTCAATGAATCTTTTCTAAATTTTTCTCAGCTATAGTTTCGATTTTCACATTAACTTGTATTTACAAGCAACGTGGTCAGTGATGGAACCAGTCTGAAAATTTTTTGTGTTTTCTTAGGTTTGCCATAACATCGACTAATGATTAATTTGTTTTTCTGATCACTTAAATTTGTCAAAAACAATTTTGATGGCTGAGAACAAAATTGAATCGCTTTTGACAATATTACTGTTTTATATTGGATTTTACTAACAATTGGGATCTTTCAAACTATTTCCCCCTATAGTACTTAGTGAAGAATACCTTCAACTATCTGAAACTTAATCTGGGTCAAGCATTTGATGATTATGTCTTTCAATTACGAACTCTCTCCGTTAAAGAGACGCAACAACAAAATTAGCTGTGTACAATACAACGCGTTTGTGATAAATACTGAATAAATAATTTAGTCTTTGGTTCATAAATTTTGAACGCTTAAATTCGGTAAGTTAGTTTTATTGTTGCCATTGCTCAATATCCGTTTTTATGCTAACCGTAATCATAACAAGTCTACATTGCTTAATCTTTTTTGTTTTTAACTGGCGTTTTAATCGACGATTTAGTACCAATACGATGAAAAAAATGCTTTCTTGAAGACATAAATGTTAAAGTCTGTAAATAAAGGTTAAATTGCTTCTTTTTAAGCATCGAGATGTCACTGAGTTCAAAAAACGTATTAGCTGGGAGATATGCAAAATTTAATAACCATGTATTAAACTGTCTCCCACTAAGTAGATGCGGGCATAGTTTTCTAGAGGAGGGGACTGAACTTCCAAAAGAAAAATTTTGGCGAGAATCGGCTCGAAAATATTAAAATTCTTAAAGCAAACTCATCAAGCTATGAAGTTATAAACAAGACTGCTCATATCAGGGAGAAGCCTTGAATGTTCTGAGTGCCTTTTAAGGTTTATGGAGCAGTAATAACATTTAAAAATTTTATGAAATAAAACAAAATGAAATTTTTTTTCTAAAATTTGAAATTTTTTATGAAAATCATTCCCCCACACGCCATGTAAAGTGCAAAAAAATAGATTTCGCTCCTTGTATTAAATCAATTATGGCAAAAAAGCTCCTTTCAACCAATTTGGAACAATTTCTAAGACGGATTAACTCTCTGCTTACGCGTTAATAGCGCGAAATATATCGCGCG